CACACACACACACACACATTTAAGTCCAGGACCTGGTCAATTCCTGGAGAAGAAACCAGAATCATAAAACACTTATCACTTTAGAGCCGCCCGCACTCCGGCACACAGACACACACACACACACACACATCCCTCTCTGGCTCCTTTTTCTTTATTCCTCCTCCCTCTGTCTGGGTGTCCTTGAGGTGGAGGAGGGGTGGCGGGGGTGTGAGGTGTCAGTGGGGGCAGTGAGGCGGTGTGTGTGCGAAGGTTTGATGCTTGTTGGGCCTCAGTCAGCTGGTCAGTACGCAGGGTTGCCTCACGTCCCCAAGGCTCTGTATAAATTCAACGTCAGTGACAATTTACAGCTTGGGCCCATCCTCCATGTGACGCGCTGAGCAGAGTGTGGAGCGCGTCTCGTTGCCGTTTCACCAAAGTGAGGCTAATTTATTACAGTGCAAAACCACAGAGCAAATATATAGGGAGGCCTTGGTTTGAGGCTTCTGGTGTCAATGTTTTTGTTGTATAGCAATGTGTAAGAATCAAAGCTGCTGTGTGCAGAAAAGCTATTTTAATTTTCATTTGCTTCTACTTAAAACTTGAGATGTTGTTCAGCATCCAGTATGGATGAATGTGCCGTTCATGCCAGAAAGTTTGGACATCAGCGATATTTTAAAAAAGCATCAAACTCACTCTCTCTGTGTCTGTCTAAACAAATCAGACTGGTTTTAAATAAGGGTAATTACATTTAAATAAATGCCCTGTCTTCAAAAAGTCTTGACAGTACTCCCTTTGTACTGTCTGAGGAGGACCGATAAAGAAGATCTCTGTTAATTACATCATGTCACAACTTATGAGACCGAACCCAAAGTTCCCCAGACTGCTGTCGAAGAAAGAGCTGACCAGCACAATCAGGCCTGACCTTCGCAGTCCATCTGATTTATGTTGTTTGTCTTCACAAGCATTTTTCTTCTTGCTGGTAATTTACATATTTATCAGACCTGATCTTAGTTTGACATCCTTTAATTTTTTTTTTCCTCTCGGCAAGCCACGAGAGAATGAGCAGCAATATGTCGCGTGGTGCAGTACCTGACTTTGGCAGGTGAGAAATGTGCTGAGGCAGCACTTTGATATGAAAGTGTGGGCATAAATTTAGCCTCTGCTGCTTTCACTCACTCATTGTCACCCACCACCCCTGTTTCCAGCACAACCCCCCCGTACTGTAGCGCATACCTCCAGTTTAATAACTTCATTTTTTCTCTCATTCCTCTTTTATTTCATTTCCGAGCCATGTTTCCAGCCGTTGACAGTGCACTGATAAAATGGTGGTAAAGACGGTAAAACTGAGAGGCAAGAGAAGGTACTACTCTCAGCACAGCAGGGCTGCAGTGATAGATTCAAGTCTCAAAACTGTTTGGATGCCTAATATATGTAAACTGTAGATGAAGTGTAACATATACACCAGAGGGAAATTACAGCAGCAGCATCACATAAATCACACCAAGGTAAATAATTTATCAGACGCATAATAGAAGCTGTAGGAAATATAAACACAATAAAAGAGACTAAATTTAAAAGTGTATAGTGTCCAAAACAAGAAATAAATAGACATAATGATGAATAATAATAAAAAATATATATAAATCATTTAGTTTAATCTACAAATAAAGAAATATTCAAATAGCTTATTTTGAGTGTATTTTTTTATAAATGATGCATTCTGTCCATAATTCTGAATTTAGTTTAGCTTGACAACATCACTTTTAAGAGGCATGAGCTTGTAAACAGCATGCATTTTATTAGGAGGGAGGTGGTGTGTGGGGGGGGGGGGGTGTCTGTCTCATGAAGTGAATTGTCGACACAATACATAAAAGAAGAGGCCAATAATTAAAGTTATTTTTAAAACCCGTGTTGTATTTATTTATTTATTTTTTTTGTTGGGAAGAACAAAAATAATGTCACGTTTAGTTATTTATCTAGTTACAGTATTAAACATAAATTTATGTATTCTTCTGTTATTTAAATCACTGATTAATCTGTAAAAAAATATACAGACAATACGTTTGTAAAAATAACAAGAAACATCTGTTTTTAGATTTAAAAACATGTTTTTTCCCCATTTTTATTATGAATTAAATATTGGGGGAAATGGTAAAGTCATAATCTTACTTTTAAAAAAAAATGTTTAAATTTTTTTGTAAAGCAGAAATTGTTGTTTTGACATTTATCTTAGGGCTCTTTGTGGTAGGCTTTTTTTTTATTGTGAAAGATTTACCTCTTCTTGTTTACTACAAATATTGAAAACTGTCAGGAGGGGGAAAAAGTGTTAAGAAGAACAGTTTAGTTTAATTCCTTATTTGGTTATTTTATTTAAACCCTTTTCTGGCTATATTTATTAATTTATTAATTAACTCGTTCATTCGTTCCTATGCTGGACATGGGCACCAGTATCCCTCCTCAACAAGGAAAAAAGAAATGGGAAAAGATAATGGATGGATTCATTCCTATCAGTTTCTGCAGGCATCCATCCACCTGCCTGCTGATCTTTACTGCCACCTTCAGGCCACAAGACATTGTTGTATCACTCTTGAGACGCAGCCATAACTTGACCCCATCCTTACATGTTAAATGCCACCGCTACCTGAGCTGCAATGGGATTTTCCTTTAAAACTAGTTGAGCTATAGCAGCTGCTTTCCACAGGTTTCCTGCAGAAGTTGGGTTGCCTATGGAAAAGTGGAACTTAATTTTGTGCTACAGTGCTTGGCTGCGCACAGCCAGAGATAGAGAGGAACGCAGAGATACAGGCGCGTAAACACAATAGCTACTTGGGGAGCATTTGTGAGAGCCCTGAGGAGACGTATTCACACAGACACTCAGAGAAGCACGCAGACACACAGAGCGATGTGGGATAAACAGTACATCCATTGTAAGCTGCGGAGTCTGCTGGAAGAGATTGTTTTGATGAAGCAGCAAGGGCACACTAACACTGGGACAAAATGTAGCACGGTGGTTGAATTCCCTGACAGTCAGAAGTCTGGCAGCTGCTTCTGCTTTGGAACACAACTTTTTGGAAAATGTTTGCATGTTGTCCCCCCCCCCCCCCCCCCCTCTCTGGTGAAGCTTCCACGATGTGTGTGGGTGTGTGTCATGGCTGTGTTCTTGTATCCCAAGCCTGTGTGGCCGCCTGGGGTTGAGGCCAAAGTAGAATGTCTAAGTGATGGAATTTCACAGCCACCGAGCGCCCAGCGGCCAGGCGAACCGCAAGCACTCACATTCACAAGAACCGGCCCGCTCCGCCCCTCAGAGACTCCTGAATGGCAAACCCATTTGTCTCAGTGAAGGGCCGAGGCAGGAAAAAACAAAAATAAAATCAAAGGCAGAGTACTTTAATGAAACAACGTTTTGGTTTATTTTGTTGCTTACGATTCCTAACTACTCAAAAAGGCACACGTGTACACACACATGCACACACGCACACACACACTGCTCTGAAGTTAAATTGGAATTAAGGAGAAGGAAAGGAGCATAACCTGTTGCTAATTAGCATTTTCTCTGCTCAGCAGAAGAGGGTGGAAGAATCAATAAGATATTAGGTTTGTGTATAGCAATGAGCCATACAATCACTTTCATCCATTAGCAACAAGAGATTAGAGGAGAAACACCGGCCAAGAAAACAGCAAAACTTTGACCTCTGTGGATTTAAACCAGTCTAAGAATGCAGAATAGATGTGGCTTGTTTTGGAACATGAACAGTGATCATCTTTAAAACAGGAACAAACACATCCAAGATTAGTGTAGCCTCTTTCATCTGCAAGTTTTTGCCACTTTTAATCAGTACTTCATGAACATATCACTCAGGAAACAATATGTGAGATGTGGGAGACACTTTAGACAGGTTGTCAGTCCAACACAGGGACACATGAGACAAACAAGACACACTATAATGTCCAGTTAACTTAGATGTTAAATGGACTACTTCTATAGCGCCTTTCCATCAAGATACTCAAAGTGCTTTACAGCACAATCTGTGCCCTCACTGTGTGAAATGTGGCCGGAAAAAAATCCTGAATGATCGTGATCGGCGATCATTTAAACGTTTGGTGAAATCAAATCGAAGAAAAACAACAGTAGCACTCAGGGCTATGTTTAATAGTGAAAGTAAGAACATTTCCACACGCACAATGTGAAGGGAACTCAAGGGATTGGGACTGAACAGCTGTGTAGCCTTAAGAAAACCACTAATCAGTGAGTCTAACTGGAAAAAAGACTTCAATTTGCTATAGAGCATAAAGATTGGACTGTGGAGCAATGGAAGAAGGTCATGTGGCCTGATGAGTCCAGATTTACCCTGTTCCAGAGAGAAGGGCGCATCAGGGTAAGAAGAGAGGCTGGTGAAGTGATGCACCCATCATGCCTAGTGTCTACTCATCAATGCAAGATCTTGGTGAAAAATTAATGCAACTCTATATGGAAATAGATCTTGTGACATTGCAGAAGCTTATCGAAACAATGCCACAGTGAATGCATGATGTAATCAAAGCTAAAGGTGGTCCAACAAAATATTAGTGTGTGACTGTTTTTTTTTGGTGGCAACTTTTTTTTTGGCCAGACAGTGTATTTCAATCAAAGTCCAGAGAAAAATCTTCAGACAGGGCAGAAGTCTTCAGTCAAAGAAGACCTCCTTCAGTTCAAACCTTCTCCAGCCTGATCCTGACCTCTGCACATGTATAATTCACCTTGACTGTTGAATATTCTTTGTTGAGTACTGGTTTGATGTTTGATTCATGTGTGTCTGTCTGACATTAGACGTCCAAGTCAAAATGTGTTCTCACCCAGACTCTCACATGAGACAAAAGGTGGATTTAACTTTAAGACCAAATTTAAAAAGTCATCGTTTAATCCGTGAAACTGCTAATTGTTCACTGCAATGTTAGTTTTTAATGTTAACAATATTAGCATTTGACTATTTTGCACCTTTTTCCCCAACACTCTTTATGCCATTTTATTTTATTTTTTATAGAACACGCAAATTCAGAAAGAGAGAAGAAACTGGTTTTTCTCACAGCTCGTGTTCACCCTGGAGAGTCTCCAGCCTCCTTCATCTGTCAGGGTAAAGTATGTTTTACTCACTTTGAGTTGTATCAAGCTCAAACTTATACTTATCGTATAAATTAAGTGCTGTTTCTGTAAATGCAATTATAAGAAAATCCCCATGCAGTTAAACTTGATGTGTATTAAAGTTACAGAAACACAAGTAACAACATGTATATTTACAGACGAATGTCTGAAAAGAAGATCTTGGAAAACATTTGGTGTCGGAGAGTTTTTGTTCCTGAGCTCCAGTGGCTCAAGTCTAATAAGGCAGCTTGAAAAACTGGAAACCTGTTGGGAAATTCTCTCCTTGTGCTGCCCAACAGCCCAAAAAACATCTGTCTTGCCTTTTCTTTCTTTAATCTGTGTGTGTGTTTGTGCTTCATCATGAATCAGATGATTTAGCTTTAAGCCCGCCGTGTGCTGTCTGTTTTTTCAGCATCGTCAGCTCCATTCCATTTGTATTGATTTAGGCTTGACGTCTCCTATTCCTCCCTTGATTCTGATAATATCCCCCACCCCCATCTCGCTGTCCTTCCTTCTCCTTTTGTTTCTCAAAACTCAATTAACTGCCAGCTCGCCTTTGGTTTTCTTTTCAACTCTATTTCCTTGTATGTGTGTGTGTGCGTGCGTGTGTGTGTGTGTGACAGGTGTCATTGACTTCCTAGTGAGCCAACATCCAGTTGCTCAAATCCTTCGTGATCATGTGATCTTCAAGATTGTCCCCATGCTGAATCCTGATGGAGTCTTCCTGGGCAACTACAGGTTCATATTTTCTTTATGTTATTTTTTTCTATTATTATTATTATTATTATTATTATTATTATTATTATTATTATTATTATTATTATTATTA